TCTTTCTGAAAAACACTGTGGCGAGCAGGACATCACATGTGATATATTCTATAAATCTGATTAGGCAATCCGCAAGTAAGTGATGCCAGGTTAAACTCAAGTCTGCACTTCCCCTGCAATGTAAAGTGGCCATATTTTTAACTCACAGTAGGTATATGTACATGGTATGATCAAAAACTACAGGAAATATTTAAATTAACAATTAAAAAATTATTACAGTAAAAGACACATTGTCATTAATCCCCCTGAAAATACTCCTCTTTGCTTCAAACACACTTATCCCATCATCTTGCCACTTTCGGAAACAGTTCTGGAAGTCCTCTTTCATGAGTTTCTTTTCACAGCTCCCTAGATGTCCTGAATCAATTCAAAACATTTGTATGGCAATTTCTTTCAAATAAAAACATTATGGTATACCTTCATCCACCTTATTCACTGGCTCTTATACCATGTGACCTCTGGCTCTTCTGCAGTGCAGTGACACATAAAGGTAAATACTTTGATTTATTCAGGACATCAAGGCAGCCAGGATCAACGAAGAACATGGAAGAAAACTTCCAGAACTGCTTCAGAAAGTGGCAAGAAGGATGGGACAAGTGTGTTCAAAGCAAGGTGGCAAATTTAGAGGAAAATTAATAGCAATATGTCTTTTACTGTAATCATTTTTAAACATTCACCATATTCTTTGACCACACCTCATACAGCAGAGCACTCCAGGTTTGCATCCTGGCTTCTACACCACAGAGCTAGTGTAGTGATCTGAGTACTATAATGCTTTTTTCTAGGCCTCCATTCTTATCACTGTGAAAATGGGTAGGTGAGCAGTACTCAGCCCTTAGAGTCGTAAAGATTAAGGAAGATAACCCACACAATGTGTTGGCACACAGTAAGCATGTGGTGAAGGTTAAGATTTCCAGCTACCAGCGCTGCCACCAATACCACTCTATTGCCACCTGCTGAGGGTAGAGACAGTTCTAGAAAATGGAAAAATGGAGCAAGTGTTAGAGAAAACAGGTTTTAGTTAATACAGGATCCATTAAAGTATATAACCCATATGAACAAAAAACATGAAGAGCCAAGTTTCAAAATCAAAGAAGTTTATCTAGTAAAACATACTGCCTAAAGAAATTAACCTAGCTAGTAACTGCAAATTAAAACAGGGTCTAAACACTTTTTTTTCTTTCAAATTGGCAAAGTTTTTATAATTATAAGGACTAATGTTGGTCAACGTGCAATAAAATAGGCACAGTAGTGTTTTTACAAAGTTATGCAGCACCAGAAGCCAATAAATGTTCACTACAATGTACTCAATAATTTCATTTTTAAGTAATAATTCCCAAAGAAGCAAGCCAAAGTGTGGAAAATTTGATATGCATAATCATTTTCATCACATCATTTAGAGAAAATGGTATAAATTATATACATTATAAAATATTAGACACTAATAAAATGGTTATAAAAATATAAAGGATTGTGGCAAAAAATTTGAGACAATGCTACCTAAAAATAGCTCAAGATAGTAAACTGAATATAATTCATGATTGTAACACGAAAAAAGTAATTTATAAAGGAAAATGTTAGTAGTTGTATTGGGGAAGTAGGATATTAATAAGTAAATTTTTGCACCTCTAGTTTTCAAATATTTCAAAATATGGACCAATTTTTTGGAAAACAAACAGGCACCTTGACTAACATATTCCAAAGTTTTCTGATAAAAACCAGACCACCCATCGGAATTCATGTGTGCATTTGTTTCTATCAACACCGCAGAATCCATAAGCCAAGTAACTACCTCTGGAAGGGCTCTGTTTCCACAAAGTGAGTCAGAATTAATATCCATACATGTTGGAGGTTAGTGGAAAAGAACAATTCTCCATAGAAACAAGCAAATCCCACCTTGCCCTCATTCCTACCTATTTCCACTTTCAAGATGAGGGAAAAGCAAGATGAGCTAGAGGAAAACCAGAGCCTTCATCCATGGGCAGCTCACACTACCTCGCTCACAACAAAGGAAGGTGCTACAAGTCAATGGAGCCTGCATCAGTAGCCTTTCTCAGGGGGTTTCCATAAAGGAGTCCAAATGGTTTACAACTCAACGGGCACCTCCATCTTTAGTGCCTCAGAGCAGGTGAGAGACTTTGTAAGCAACAGAGAGACAGGAATGAAGGTAGGAAGTTCAAATTCTTATTTTTTCTCATAAATTCTATCACTTGTCTCTTCAGACCTGTCTTTAGGCAAAAAGGAGTCAAGTCTCACAAATATAATGGATTGGACCAGATTACTAAATATCCCTTACCATCTGAGCACACATGTGCAGCACCAGGAGGGCAATGGATTGGGCGACCTCAGTCAGAGGCCTCTCCTTCTAGTGTGGCAGTCTACGCTGCAGTATGCCTGTACCCAACAGCCTGCAGTTTCCTAAACCTTCACTGTTAAAGAGGTAACACTCTAAGCCCAAGGGAATTTGTCAGTGAAACTCAAAGGAGCGCTGCTTGTCTCCTGGGTCACAAATAAGTTGCACACTACATAAACTCAACCCTGGGATTTTAAGCTATGCTAAATGTGTCTAAAGTGGAGCAGTATGGATGCCACTCTGTTTACCCAGCCAGCCAAGGGCTGTGCCACTGGAGCCTTTCGGGCTAGCTGTGGCCAGGCTCACAAAGCAGCCCTGTGGCTCTGGGGCCCATCCTTGACGACCTTCTGTTACACAGTCTCAGACATTTTGACGTGTCGTGTTAATCCAGCTGCCAACCCTAGCAATAAGCTCAAATCCCTCATACGTTTTTTTCTTCTTTTGAGACAAATGACACTTTCCGCAAATAACTGGGGAGACCTCCCAGAAGTGTTTCCTTCCTGACCATTTTTCCACCTCATATCATACCTACTGCCAGCTGACAAAGCAGAAATCATCCACTTTATGTGCTGTTATTTAACAAAGTGAAGACTTCATATGGGAAGATTTTCATCCTCTATTAAGCTCCAGAGGTTGAGTGAAACGTTCAGGGGAAAGGGTAAACTGTCATAAGCTCTGGTATGATTCTGGAACACTACGGGATGTTTTAAACAAGCAAGGTGTATTAATATGATGCAAATAGTAGTGATTTGATACTTTTTGAGTTTAAATCTCTCCTGTGACCTAAGGAACTATAAAAAGGAAAGAAGAGCAGCTTCCAGGCCCTGTCTTGGATTTCCCAGTGGTCAGATTATGCCCATATGAGGAAGAAGGCATTCCACTGGGTATGTGAGGTCTAAGAGTTGGCCAGACTACTGCAATGCGGGCACTCCCACCCAGCCCCACTGCAGGATCAAGCTGGGGAGTAAGTGCTGTGTCAGCCAGTGCTCTCTGTCCAGCTCTAGTCACTCCCTGTCCGAAAGGGGTGCATCCAGGGCATGCTTCCTGCTCAGGCTGCATGGGGAACCTTAGCTCATTCAATTTAGAAACAGGCAAACCCTTTCTGAGAATAACACATCCAAAAATAGCAAAGGCTACCTATCTTCTCGTTTTATACTTCATGCTCTTCCTGCACAAGTTCAACAACATCTACACTGGTGACTCCAACTTTTCTCCTGAGAGCTGGATTTCCAATTGCCTTATTCCAACTGCCTTGCTACTCAGCTTCCACACCTAACCCATCACAGGATCCTGTCAAGTCTATTTCCCTGCCTCTCAGCACACAGCGTTCCTCCATTCCCACTGCCCCAAGCTTCAGGCACTCTCACCAGTTCCTCTTGGGACTACTCATGTCCCTGAAGGGTCCCATGAAGAGCTATCAGCCCCTCTAACCCATCTTGCACTGCCACTCAAGTCAGCTATTAAACACCAGCATGTAGGGCCGGGGATTTAGCTCAGTGGTTCCACTGCCTGCCTCGCAAGCGCAAGGTCCCAAGTTTGATCCCCGGTATAAATAAAAACAAAAACAAAAACCACCAGCACGTAGCTCCTACTTAAAAAGGTATTTCCCAATGGCTTATGGATAAATGCTAAACTTCTTAGCATTACACCCACCTTTACCAACTTCTCTGTCCAAACACATCCTCTGCCACATCTTACCATACCTAGCCCACCTGTGCTCTGCATTATTGCCCCTCATTCCAGACACATCTTCACAGCCTTTTTGTTTCAAGAAATGGCTTTCCCTCTGCACAGGACATTCTGTTACTCCATCTCTACCCTACAACTCTCATTTATCCTTCAAGGCCAGACTGAAACATCACCTCCTTTGGGAAGCTCTCTCCTGTCCCTTCAGTTACAAGTAACTGCCCTGCCTGTTCCTCTAGCACTTTCTGTATACTTCTATCCTAAACAGTAATTTAACAGCAGTGATCTGTTCAGAAACAGTTTCCCCAGAGACAATGCTATAAGTCATTGAGGGCAGGGACCATATCTTTATTTGTGAATCTGGTACCAGGCTGCACAGAGTACATATCCAGTAATCCATCAACCAGCCACACAACACATCCAAAGGCTGTAAGAGGAATTAGGGCGAGAGAGTGAAGAGATGTTGATGGTCAGGATACTTGACTCTAGCCCCCAACTGCCTCTGAGTTGTGTGCTGTGGACATTTATTAATCTCTCCAGGCTTTAGTTTCCCATCTGTGAATGTGAGTCCCACAGTCTCTTTAACTCCTCTGTTCTAGCAGTCTGACTATTTTGCTTTAAGATCTACAGTGAAGAAAGACTATAAAACCCCTTGGTAATATGTTCCAGGAGTCTGAATGTTTCTCCACAAAGCCCGCCAGGAAAACACCCTGTAGGTGTCCAGACAGAGCTCCCAAGAACACCAACAGCAGAGGCTCCTATCCTCCACTCATCAATCCCCAGTTGCCCTCTACTCTGCTTCACTTGACAAATCATGGCCCCAAAGTGGCTTATTAAATATAATGCACAAGAAAAAAAAACCTGATGACAAAAATTTAACATGCCTGGAAAGCAGTGAGTGCTAAAAACATGACTGCTGAATTTTGAAAAGCCAAGCTGACCCTCTAGGCTTGATAATCACCTGGTGACCCCATACTCTGGGGGTGGCTGGTACCTCAGGACGGCCACTTCTGTTCTCGCAGGCTGAGGGGCAGGGTAAGGCTTGACCATATCATGGAGCATCCCTGGGTGCTGGTCACCGTAGAAAAGACCATGATCCTGGTTCTTGCTGACTGGGGACATCATTTGCTTGGTCTTGAAGGGGTACTCAGGTGGAGGACCTCGAGGGTCCAGGATTTTCCCACCGGGCTGGGCTGGCGAGGGTCCCCCTCCTGCTTTGAACCCCTTTCCACTCCCTGAGCCAGGGAGGTGTTGCTTAGCACCATTCCTCTCCAATGATAGCTGCATGATCCTTTCACTGAGGGAGCGGACATGGCCCTGCTTCAGTTCTTTCAGCGCTTCATCCTTATGCGCCTGTCCACTGTTGGCACGGCTCACCGTGGCCCTCCCCTCAGTGCGAGACTTCTGACTGGTGCCCCCAGCCATGTAGTAACTGTGGCCTGCGGGCCCCTGCTGCTGCTGCCCCCTGAAAAACTGTGACTGGGCCTTGGCCTCCTCGTAAGTGGGCAGCTCCTCATTGTTCTGCTGTGGCTGCGTGGAGCGGACCTGCTTCTCCATCACCGTGTTGTCCACCTGGTGTTCTTGACCCTGCGGTTCCTGGCGTGCTGACTGGTAGACCATTTGTGGGTCTTCTTGAGTGAGGTTTTCCGTGGAAGAAAAGTTGTTTGTAGGGTGAGCTGGTCCTGCACTCCCTGTGGCCTGGTGCTGAATGGCCAGCAAGTTCATGTTCTCAGTTGGGGTGCCATATCGCAGTTGTTCCTGAATCAGCCGCTGTAATACTGTTCCAGCTGCCGCATCCTCGGAACCTCTCATTTCCACCTCTGAAATCCTCAGGAAGTTCGTAGAGAGGAAGTTACAAAGAGGATCCTCAACTAAAATATAAACATAGAAAAAAGACATCAGGCTGTTCCCCAGGAGATACATGTCCATCAGTATGTGGTGAATAATTAGCATTACAACTACAGCAGCATTTAAAGATAAGATTTAAGACACACCACTACCTCCATCTATCCTGCATTGTTTCACAGATATGTTTTCCAATTTACTCTACTCTCCATTCCCTCTCCTCCCACTCCTGAGACTTCCTCCATCCTTCATCCTTTCCCTTTCTTTTATCCTCTCCAACTCCCCTTTCTTTTCAACACATAAACATACCCACCAAAATCAAACAGGAAGACCTCTGATTGTCACCCTACAATCTCCTAATCTCCTTCCTTCTCTTCTGCTCATCTTCAGTAAGCAACATATGCTTTCTGTCTCTGTGTTCCAAATGCTCCATTCACTGCCCTGATCAGCTACCAAATTCAACAAGAGTTTTCCAACTCATATTATACACCTAACCTTTCTGAAGCATCAACATGGTTGATCACCCTCTTCTTGAAACTCTCCTAAGTCAGCATCCAAGTCACCTTTCCTCCTGCCTCTCTACACGTCTTCTCTGGCTCCCTTTTTTCCACCTGCCCCTCAAATGTTTTCTCCCAGCTCTGTCCCGAGTACTCTTCTACCCTCACTCAACAGAATCTCCACTCGTGTCTTCAACTCAAGTCTTGAAATCCACATCTACAATGGCAGCCAATAGCTCTTAAGGCATTCTACCTTAACACATCTTCCTTTCCCCCAATGCTTACATAGTCTAACTCTCGAGCCCCATCTCCACTACTTTTTCTCAAGCCAGAAACAGGAAAGTTTTCCAAAATTCCTTCCTCCTCTTTCCTCCAACACCTAGTGAGTTACCACCTGTTAATTCTACCTCGTAAATATCACTATAGACCCTCTTCTTTATTCCCATGTCGATCTTGAAGTACCATTATTCATAAGCATAATATAATCACAGGAACTATTCCTAAAGTGTATATGATATGCTAGGTATTTCACTAAATTTTTTCCATATGTTATTTTACTTATTCTCCATACAGTCTTATAAAGAGGTATCAATTCCCCCAACTTATAGATGAAGAGAGGCACAGAAGTTAAGTCACACAGGCCACACAGGTAGGAACTCCAACTCTATGTTCATTCCATAGTATTACAAGCTGTGGCAACTCATACCCAGACCACTTCCATAATGTCCTTATCTATGCCCAACTCTAGCCTCATTCCAATTTCCAAACCCACGACTCAGGCTCAACATATCTTCCACACTACTTTGAAAAATTGTTCCAACAGGAAAATCTAATTATATCATTTATCTGCACAAAATTCATCAATTATCAATTACATGATAATGCTGACATTCCATCACATATTGCAGCACATACTGTCTACCTACCTGGCAACACTTCATGTCACCCCTGCTTCATACTGGTAACCCCTCAGACTTTAAGCTCCAGCAGTACCTAGGAACACATAGTTTCCAGGATGTGCTAGCTCTCTATAACCTCTAGGCCTTTTTGGCATTCTTCCTCTTCCTAGAAATATGGATCTCATTATGTCTCTTGGGAAACGTCATCCTTTAAATGGTAACGGCAAAGCTACTGTCCCTGCTACAAAAACTGTCTTCCTTGTCCTGAGCCCATTTGTACATATTGCTTTTGAAGCAATAATCATAGTAGATGGCAATTATTTATTTACACAAGACTCCAAACTCCACAAAACCAGATTAGTCTTCTCATCTGTGTCACCCTGGCACTCAGCACAATGCTGGTCTCAAATACTTAACCAGTACAAGAATACTTACACCAGCCACACGCAATGTAATACCTAGCCCATTTCACAACAATACTATTAAGCAATGAATTAAAGATGGCAGATGGCATGGGGCCAGGGATTTAGCTCAGTGGTTCTGGCACCTGCCTGGCAAGCACAAGGTACCAAGTTTGATCCCCAGTACCAAAAAATAAAAATAAAAAAAATTAAGATGGTATATGGCATGATGGTGTGAAAGCTCCACCACCACTTACTATTGGCCTAACCTTACTCTGAGCCTGAAAATCCTCTCCTTGAATAAGGGGAGCTGAACAACAGCATCTCCAGATACCCAAGCTTTACAGTGACATTAAATGGTGGCTCTGTGTTTTTTATAGACACAGAGAGCACATCCTTTTCTCAAAAACCATCTTTCTTCCCCAAGTATATCTTCTTTCTTATAAATGGCATCCTCGTCATATGAGTCACACAGATAGAAATTTCATATCCACTTTTTGCCCTTTCTCTCCTTTGCTTCCCATATTTAATCAACTGCCAACCTAGTTTTTTTTCAGGCCACAGTGAAATGAAGTAAAAAATAGAAAAAAAGGTATAACTACTCACAAGATACATGCATATGGCTTGTATATACGTACTAGCACACCTATATATGTATTTATGCAGACACGTTATTAGGTTTACAACTGTCCTTTCTGGCAAAGGTTATCCAGGATTACATTCCTCTTCTTTAGTATTCCAATATGAGAAAACATGACAATAAATGATATTTTAGTGTCTTTGTAATAGCAAAAGACAGAAACTCTCTGTTGGTCCTAATTGTCATTAAGAAATTTACCATGTATGATAGAAGCAAGCCCTCACTTCTACTCCAATGTGCTCTCCTGTCCACCTATTCTTACCTAACCTTGGTCATGCCTCAATGTGGCTCCTTAACAAATGCTGAGATGTCCTGAAAAGCCTCTTAAAACCTTTTGCCTCAGGCCTCTTCTTCCCAGTCACACTATATTACTTATCTTCCTCTACTAGAATTCAAGTTTCAGAGGCAGAAAGGATTGTCTGTCATATACGTGGGTTGTGTTCCTGACCTAGAACACTGCCCTATACATGGAGACATCTGCCAAAGAAAATTCAGTCACGGTACAGGCTGGATTCTGAGGCTATACTTTAGTCATATGGCTCTCCCTGTCCTTGGCCAAAAAAATTCATCTCTGTGACCTTGGCCAAATTATTGGGCTTCTCTGAACCTCCTCTTCTGAAAAATGGGGAGACTAAATACCTGCCTTATGGAAGGTTATATAAAGTCAAATATTCCTCACCTTTAGAGAATATATACAACCAGTGAGATGTAAACTCAAAGTGCAGCAATAAAAACAGATTACCAAAAGGCCACATGTGATGAATTACCAAACAAATGTAATTAACAATGAGCAACCCAAGGAAAAAGATGAATGTAGGTTGGACTAGTCCATTCACTCACTCACCAAAATTACAACTGCAAACTTTTTATATTTTAAGCACAATGATAGCTGTTAAGAGTTATGAGACTAAAGAGGACAGAATGGATCTGAAGGGCTTCATGGAATAAGCACATTTAATAAGAATAGAAAATACTAAAATAAATATTTTAATAAAAATAACAATATAATTCCAATGGAAAATTATTTCTTTAGATGAAAAATAAAAGGAATGGGTCTCAACAAGCATAAAAACTACTGAATTCCTTCTTCATTGAAGTAAGAAAAAACTGAACTAGCATACTTTGGCAAGAGTTGTAAAATGGTTTTAAAGAATTTCCTCACAGTTTTACCAGTCTCAAAAACCCTCAAAAAGCCACGCATGGTGGTGCATGCCTGTAATTCAAGCACTCTGGGAGACTAAGGCAAGAGGATGGCATGTTTGAGCCTAGCTTGGGCAACTTAATGAGACTCTTGTCTCAAAATAAAAAATTTTAAAAAGGGAGAGATGGAGCTCAGTGTGAAGGCCCTGAGTTCAGTCCCCAGTGCCCCACCACCACCAAAAAAACCCTTCAAAAATAGAAAATTTTTACATAGGAGGTGGCTCCCCTTCCCTACTTATAGTTTTATTCCTTCTACACTTGTGAACTATTTGCAAAAAGAAATAAAAATGAAGCAGAAAAAGAAAACAACAAAAGATTCTGAAAAAGGGACAAAAATATTTTTAAATTAGATAGAGAAAAAATTAGGGACTAAATGATGTAATTCTGAAGCTCCTACACAGATATGACTCTTGCAAAGGGAGCCACATATTAGAATAATACAGTCTTAGTAATATAGTAATACTGTCTTATCAGTGCTGGGGATTTAGCTCAGTGGTTCTGGTGTCTGCCTCGCAAATGCAAGGTCCTACGTTCGATCCCCAGTACCAAAAAAAAAACAAAAAATACTGTCTTATCATACCATAACATGATTACAAATACGGCATTTACCAGCAAAGAGATAACCCATAATCCAATATGCTGATTGTTAAAATAAGGATAGAAAATGAAGAAACATTTGGATTACAAAGCCCCCTTCCCTCAGGTGATCTGTTCCAAGAACCCTAGTGGGCACCTGAAACCAGGGGTAGTACCAAAGCCTGCACATGCTATATTTTTTCCTACATACCTATGATAATGTTTAAATTATAAATTAAGCACACTAAAAAATTAATAGTCAATAATAAATAAAACAATTATAACAATATATGGCAATGATGTTATTTAAAAGTTATGAACTGTTTATTCCTGGTATTTTTCATTATATTTCCAACCACAGCTGACCTCGAGTAACAAACTGTGGAAGCAAAGCTCCCACAGTTAAAGAGAAAGTTACAAATGAGAGACATAAGGTCATTTTGTTTTGCCAATACAAGTGCTAATGAAAGGACTCACCAACTTTTTCTCTGAGGTTACCGTTTGCCTCCACAGTCAAAGCAGATGCTTCATTCCTCCCAGAATAGAGCTGAAGGCCTGAGAAAAAACAGTTGGGGTCTTCTAGAATCTGGATGGGACTGCTAGGACTGTAACAGACAGGAGGCGGAGCTGGCAGAAAGAAAGTAATGTGTATGTTAGTGCCAACCAAGTGCCCCCTCCTTCCTGTGTGACTCAGAAAAGGCCACGAAGCATTCTCCCACATTTCAGCTCGTGGTGACAGCTCTTGTCTTTTTGATTCATAAAATTCAGAACTATCACAAGGCCCCTGCCACCTACCAAAATGACTCGTGGGATCAATCTAAAAGTTAAGACATGCTGAACAAAGGCATGAATGCTTTCACACAGCCCAGTTCCAACAAAAGTCAAGTCCCTATAAAAATTACAAGTCACAAATTCCAAAACAGTGAAGATGAGGGATAGAAAGGAGGGAGACAGGAAGGGTGACCAGCAAAAGAAAACTAAAATGGGAAGAAAGCCGGTTCTCAAAATACATAAAAGACACAGAAAGGAATGGTCACTTTGCCAGACCATGTATTAGCAAAAGAATTTTCCAGCACAGGACAGAGCACTGAGTTCACTGGAAGGTTTCTCAAGTCTCGTGTTGCAGCGTAGATGGAGCTGGGGTTCTGGATTTTGGGCCTCTGCCAAGCGCTGGGCTTTCAAGCTTTGGTTTATCTGCTTCACACATAAACCAGAATGTGCTTCCTCTTCCAATTAAACTTGACACGGCCCTCAGTCCTACAGCCACTGAACATAAGATACCACCTCAATAACACTGATTCCACACCACCATCTGTGGGAACTTCCGGCACTCAGGTCCAGCCTGTCTTCCTGCTCTGCTCAGACTTCGCGTGGGCACCAAGTTCAAGGCTTTTTTCGGCAAAAGTAACTTAAATTTACTCTGGAAAGTCATACTTTTCTTAAAATGAAGATTCTTTCCCCAAAGATAATTCTATTAGAAGAAAAGTAAAGTTCTTCAGCAACTGTTCCAAATTGATCATTTGAAATTTCTACCCAGATTTGTTATCCATCCATTTCCCACAAGGCTGAAGCTACTAGTAAAAGACTAACTATACCAAGGGCTGTATGATGGTAACGTACTTGCCTTCTTCTTGGTTCTTACATGTATTGCTCACCTGTATCAGAGGTATGTCTGCCCTAAGGAGAAAAAAAGATTTTCATAACTACAATATTTATCTTATAAATTGTAAATAATGTAGTTGTGACTACCATATTAAAGATGAATATAAACCAAGTGTGAATGGCATATTGGATGTAGACCACTTTAAAACTACTGCTCCAATCCATAATAAGAGACTATTTGTCAGCCTTCTCTTTTTCAGCCAACCTCTCACCCCTTTCTGGGCCTAGTCCTCCACATCCATATATCTGAAAGTCTAGGGCTAAAATTAGGAATCATGGATGGCCTACAGCCAAAGTCAAATTCTGACCTGGCTTCTACTTTCCCACAGTTGTCAAACTAGAGAGGGATGAGGTACAATGTTGGCTGCACATTAAAATTATCCAGGAAACTTTTAAAATCCCAGAACCCAGGCTCAGTCAGAATCTCTGGGAGTAGGGCCCAGGCATCTGCATTTTATCAAGCTCTTCAAATGATTCTAATGTACAGTCAAAGCTGGGAAGTCCAAAGCTAGAGGGAGGGCCACACATGTGGAGGAAAAAAAGAATCATACAACACCTTTCTGCACTTTCATTTCCACCCCTCCTACCAAGTTAGAGCAAGAGAGGAGTCAAGGGCCTACATGCTTCAATAAAAGAAATTGTGGTGCTTTCTTAACATAGATCTGGTTCAGGAATGGCACATGGCAGCATGATACAACTTTAGGTGATACCATCTAGTCACCTGACCAAGAATAGTAAATGATAAGGAGAAAACTACCAACAAAATTAAGGTATATATGTACACACAAATGTATACACACGTAAAGGAGAATATGTTTTCAACATAGAGCTCAGAATGGACCCCGGCACTAAGCCATTCAGTCACTACAACACTGATACAAATTACTTTCCCATGCTTTATCCTATGGGCTTCCAAATGATAGTAGATCCAAGAGCTCCAGACCACACAACACCACACAGAGGGCAGCTGTTGAAGAACACAGAGGACAGAGGACAGCAAAGACATGCCATCTTTAACCATATTCCTTCAATGTTATAAAAGAACTAATGCACTTCACATAAACATATACACACATGTTCATGTGTGCACTCACACATCTACCCAGACTGAGGGCACAGTATTTAATGACATGTCAGTGATTATTTAAGATCGTTTTTGCACACATCTGGGGACCCTCGTGTTCACCATCTTAATTCCTACTACAGCTACCACTCCTGGGTGTTAAAGAAAGGCCAGAGAGCTCCACAGATAATGAAAACAGACACCACAGGCAGACAAGGCTGGTTTTCATCCATTTCCCCAAAGCCAAGAGACAGCCAGGTGGGCTTTCCCAGTACTGACACAGCCTAAAGCAATCAGACTTGTAGGACAAGGAAAAGTGGCAGTGATGTTTGTCATGGTGCACTGGATTCCTAAGTCACATATCAAAAGCCAACGAGGGCCAGGGATTTAGCTCAGTGGTTCCACGACCTGCCTCGAAACCGCAGGGTCCCGAATTCGATCCCCGATACCAAAAAAAAAAAAAGCTAAAGAGAGGCCCTGTTTCATTCCTCATGTACCTAATCCTTCCCTGGGCACTCCTGTAGCACCAACTGAGTCTATTTTCTTCAGCAAACTTCAGGGCACATAATCTAAACAAACTGAAATGAGAAATTGGAAGTGGTCGAACAACATGAGGGGGAATGCTGTTTTCTTTATTGGCAGTTCATAACTGGGAGTGAGAGCTGTGAAAAACCCAGAAGGCCCCAGACATCACTACCACCCAGAAGGCTCCTGTAAGGCCTGGCTTGGGCCCAGGGACACCACAGCACTGCTCATTTTGGGGGCCCGCAGCCTCCTGAGGATTCTGCTGACTCAACAGTGTGTAATATGCACAACACACTTGTTGCAAGGCCTTCATAAAGCCTCTTTCCATACGAGGCCCTCTTGTCTAAGCAGGTAACTTATAGTTAACCTACTTCTTTCAAGCCAGCACCTTGTCTGAGGATTACCACTCCCACAGCTCTAGTGTGCAGGAGAAAAAGCCAGCTCTCTGGAGAAGAGGCTCTGCTGGGAGGGGGCACATGAAGCTCCAGGGCCCCTTCCTAGAAGGAAAGCAGAGATCTGGTTTTTTCTGCAGTCAACAAAGGGTGACATTCAGAAATCTACTTTGGGGATTCAACATTTCTGCCTTAGATCGACTACAAGTCATTTTACGTAATTGGTTCCTTTTGCTTTTACAGAATCCGAGTGTCATTTGTCAGTATGGAGAATCCTGCTCCTCTCTTGCTGAGCGTGACTGTTTCTGGCTTGCTTCCGAAGCAATGAAAACGTCCATCACAGCTTTAGGCTGTTACCTTTTTGTGACTATCCAGAGGCCTGCAGGTAATGTGACCCCAACAAGACTTTTTTTCTTACTCCATAGTTGCAATAACAAAGGGCCTCATTGTTGAAGGAAAACGAATTGAAGGTAAAATGAAGTACATTTTCTGGGGAAAGTAAGGGGCAAGACAAAGGACCTGGTGAGCTGCTCCTGGGCTTCACCCGCTCTAACTCCTGGGGAGCAGATCTTCCATCTGTCACCAGCCAAGAGACCAAGGTCATTAAATGGTGACCCCGCTATCATCTCACACAGGCACGGTGGGGATCCCTTGTCCTGGAACACCCCTCCCCCCTTCCATGTAACTATTTGAGCTATAAGGTCAAGGTCAGAATTTGGTTTTCAAAGCTGTCTATACTCAGCCCACTCCTTCAGCTGTTCATGGTCTTGCTGGTCCCCTCAGCCTCCCAGCAACCTCTGAAGGTCATCATTCTCTGAGTGCCCCCCTCTAACCTTACACCTCACCAATAAAAATTAAAAACCAAAGTTCATCCAGTGAATTTACCCCTTCAAGTACCTCCTCAGGAATACCTTCCCCTGCCCCAACTGCCACTGCAATTAAGTTCTGATGCACCCAAAACTTACCACTTCAATATCAACTGGTATTTTACAGTAGTCATTTAATCTGGTATTTTACAGTAGTCATTTAATCTAAGATGCTGTCACTTAATCTGCCCTGGTCAAGTAATAACGGTCTTTGAAGACAGGCACTACACCATGTGCTTGCTAATTTCTGAAAATAGAATATACATGCATGCTCTCTGCCTACTTGATGACTAGTAGAGAAAATAAGGCATTACTCTCTGGAATAATCTCACTACCAAGCCAGTCTCTGAGTTTCAGGTAATTCCTTGCACCTTTTCGTTCCCTAAAATACAAGGGCCTTATGCTCCCCTTTGCTGCTAATACTGTTGCTTTGAGGTCTGCAGGCCGGTGGCCCATTCCTCAAAGACAACACTAACTGAAAAACAAACCCCACAGGTCACCAAAGTATGAAGATTCCTGCCAGCTACATGTAATCCAAAACCTCCCAATGTGTTTAAAAACAATCACTGTCTAGAGTAGAATAACATCCTCTAGCTTTATAACAGAGATTTTAACCACAGCAACAAACAATTCTGCGGCTTCTACCTTTCTTTTCTAAAGGCTAAGGAATTTGCTGAGTGTGCCAGTGGCCTCAACACGAAACGCAAGCAACCAACCAACCCTTCTGATTCTGGCAGAACTTGAAGTTTTTCCAGGGAGTAGAATGGCCCATTCAGAGAAGGAGATGCCCTGGATACAATGTTTAGAAGAGACCTGGAGAAGCCATGACATGTACCTGAAAAACACAGGCTAATCTGTTTATGAAGCCTTATATAAGGCTACTTCTGGATGAACCATGTGACAGTCCAGGCATCTGAGACCCAAGGGTGGCAAGCAATGGTACAGTCTTCTACAAACACTTGTATACAATACACACACTTGTAAAAAAGCCAACAGAAATCTCTACCGTTACACCAAAAGCATGCACAATAATAAATTTTCCCACTCTTTCCCCTAGGAATCATTATTTAAATCGGAAGACTTGAGATGGAGACTAGAGGATGAGGTTTCCAAGATTCCCAATCCTTACATGGTATAATCTTCTGAATGGGTATCAAATTTTAATTCTAACTCCTGGATCAATCTATCTATTCTAGAAAACAAATGAAATCAGTACACCATTATCTATTTAACTGAAATGTACAATGAATAACTTTAAACTTGTCTAAATTTTAACTTTGTATTGCTTACTTATAAATACCTAAGGCCAGGCATGGTGGCACAGGCTTGTAATCCCAGCCTGGGCAATTTACTGACTTAGAGAGACCCAAAAGTGGGTTGGGGATGTAGCTCAGTGCAAAGACCCTGGGTTCAATCTCTAGCAATACACACACACATACACACACACACACACACACACACACACAGACACACACATACACAAAGATATTATCAATGTAAACCAAAATGTTGAATATAGGCTTAACCTTTAAGGAAACAAATGAGTTCAAGAAAACACTATTAGCTCTAAATACAAAGAAATGAGTAAGCTGGTCCTTGACCTTAGGATACTATAATTTGGTCTAAGAGACCAATGTGCACAAAGCTACTCAAATTTCATTGCAGGGTAAATGCTCTATTTAAAGGCACTGTTATGGCTTGTATTTAGATGTCCTCCTAAAGCCTCATTCAGTAATAGGTGGGTCTTTTTCAGAGGTGGCTGGATCTGGAGTGTGTGATTGATTCTGGTGCAGTACTAGGATTAAGGGTGTGAGTGCTATCTGCCCCAAGGGTGGGTAGCCTAGCTACCAGATAAGCGGCAGAGAGAGGCTTGCTGCTAGTTATTGTAGTTGGTCGCTCGCTTGCTTTTGCTGTTTATTGGGTGCCATGGACTGTTTCTCCTCTCCAATGCCCCTCTGCCATGCCACCCTGCCTTGGAGCCAGCCAACTATGAACTGAAACCTCTACAAACTGTGAGCCAAATAAACCTTTCCTCCTTTAACTTCGGGTGTGCAGTATTTTGTCTCAGCAATGAGAAAAGTAACTTAGACAGGCACATAGTGTTCTTGAGGCCCAGGAGTAATTTATTAGTTCTTGTTGGCTGAGGGGAGTGATAGGGAGTGCAATGACAAGGAGAAAAAGATCTGTGAGGTGAATAGAGGAAAATGAGGAGGATGCTAATCTGCTGCAGCAGAGTAGAGGAGTGAGGGAAGATGGTGGCAGAAGCACAGGGCAGAGTCATGAAAGAGCTTTGTCTCTTTAAGGAACACACTTTGGTGTAGCTTGGCTAAGGTAAGAAGGATGAAGCTACATCCACAGTCTCAGAATCTAGCATTTATGGGGGTGTTCTTAAACTATCTCCATAGCTTGAGTGGTTCACCTCCCAACTACTACCTATACCACACTCCCTAATTACTTTCAGGGTTAGAAAACACAAAACTCTGTGTAAGTCTTGGGGTCAGGTTTCATCTTCCATTATGCAAGCCACAGGTCCCCTCCCTGCTGTAGTAGTTAGGATGAACTAGACTCAGTCCACTGAATGTTGACTGACTCTTAAGGAAACGACACAAGATGAGAGGACATTAATAAAAAAAATTGTCCATGGCAGCACTATTACCAGGAGTCCAGGAGCAGCAGTACTTGCTAGGGTGGTATTATGGTCTGGATCTGAAATATCCCCCAAGGGCTCATGTATTGAAAGTGCGGTCCCCAATGGAGCAATGATCAGAGGTGGGTCTTTCAGAAGTAAATGAATCATGAGGGCTCAGACCTCAACAGAGCCAATGCACAGACAGATTCATGATATGATGGCATTATTGAGAGGTGGCAGAAACTTCAGGAAGTACAGCTTCATTGGAGGAAGTAGGTCACTAGGGGGTTGTCCTAGGATAACTCATCCCTGGTCCTTTCCTGGCTCTTTTTTTTTCTGCCTGTTTGCCATGCAGTCAGTTGCCTTACTCCATCCACCACAAGCTGCCTGACATGATCTTCTGCCTCATCCCAGGCCTAAAGCAATGGAGCCAGCCAACCTTGGACAGAAATCTCTAAACTGCTGAGCCAAAATAACTCTTTCTTCCTTTAGCTGACTTTCTTGAGTAGTTTATCACCGCAACAAAAAGTTGATGGCCTCCATTTTCTAAGCAATCCTATTAATTTGTCAGCTGCCCAATATATTTCCAATTAATTTATCTTTTGCTTAAGCTAGCCAAAGTCACTTTGTAATGCTGACAATCACAAATCTGATAGAGAAACTCAAACTACATTAAAATAGAAGACAGATAAACAAGAAGTAGGGAGAAATTCAAGTATTATTATTCCCATATTCCACTGTCTCAAAATATTTTAATACATATGATAATTTGCTTCATTTATACTTACTAGCTTCTCTTCATTGAAAAGAAAGTTTTGTGCTCTGGGGATTTAGCTCAGTCGTTTCACCATCTGCTGTGCAAGTGCAAGGACCCGAGCTCAATCCCTGGTACCAAAAAAAAAAAAGTTTTTTGTGCTATTTTCCGTTTCTTCTTTGTAAGAGAGAATCTTTCTCATCTATATCTTGTAGTCTGAGTAACTTTGAAGATAATAATAGACCGTATATTAATGATTCTTTTATTATGTTGTTATGAAATTTTGTTTCATTTTTTCATAAAGTAAAAAAATATCTGGTAGACTTTTGTTTTTAAAAATTAATTGTCCAGACCCTCATTATATCCAGCATTTTGTTTGTATCGTAAGTATTACATGACTTAGCACCATCTGCCTTGAATTAGAGTAACTCATGTGTATTGCCCCAAGTATCCTTTGCATACACCCTTGGGAAATACTTGCCTCAACGAGTCTACCATCTGGAGAGACTTTCTGCCCTTACAAGTCTAGGAAACTTGCTTTGGCAAATACTAAATGCTAAAATATATTTTCTGGCTATCAAAAAGTCTTCTGAAGCTCCATTCTAAGGCTACTTCCTGCAGGAAGTCTCTACTCCTCCTCCCCCAAATTCTTGTGAGCCACTCAGTGCTCCCACAGCATTATATGCATATAGATGACACAATTCATATTAAAGTGCTTATATATTTATTTTTTCTCCCCCTGTTAAGCTTGTGAACTTATAACAGCAGGAATCATAACCTCTGAATCTCCAATTACTAGCAGAAATAAGACCACAGTAAGTATTCAGTGCATACTCGTGGAATCAATGAATCATTTGCATATGTTTATAGTATCAAGGTTTTCTAGTATGTAACAATAAATGTTTCAATTACATATATACGCATTTTAAAATAACCGGTTATAAACATATTCTTAATTCTACAGAATTTAGCTCAAAGGTAAGTTTGCCCATTTTAAGGCCCCTTTTAAATTACTTAAGAGATAAAGGTAAAACCTACTGGAGAAAAAAAGAAGAAAAAGCCACCTAGTGCTAAAATAGATTAATTACAAGGGTGCTGTGCTGCAGTTCAAGAAGGGCTCTGTGTATGTGACAAGTAACACTGCAGGGATTTGTAGCTTGAACACAAACCCATGTTTAGAGCGAGATGATCTTTCCTCCTCCGCAGCCCCTGTAGCAGGCAGGCTCTGCATTCCAGGAGCATACCTGGAGCAGATTCAAAGGACCATTATACTCACCACAGAAAAGAGGAAGCGGAACAGCCCCAGTCCTAACTATCACACAACCACAATGAGTATATAAAATCCTTAATAAAAGGACTTCACCTACACAGAGAAAGTAATTTTTAAATTTTGAATTTTAACATAAAATCCACAGGCTACTTGAATTTATTAACTCAAATTGAACATAGTACCATTATAATGCTTATTTCCTGTTGCTGTCTTTGGTGTGAACTTATATAAAACTAAAATATTAGAAGCACCTGGGCCGGGAATTTAGCTCAGTGGTTCCGCCGCCTGCCTAGCAAGCACAAGGTCCTGAGTTCGATCCCTGGTACCAAAAAAAAAAAAAAGTACCTAGACTCCAGAGAGCCTTTTGTTCAGATAGTTTTAATAAATAAACTCTATATTTAATTAAATCACAGAACTCTAAATGCTCCCTAATTCTATCCTGTTTATTTAGACCTTTCTAAAAATATCTCAGAAACACAGAAGCATTATTTTGGGTGGCCCTGACACACCTTGGGTTCCCGGAGAGAGAAAAATTACTACCATGTGGCCATCAATACTTAAATGTGTTTATAGCCCTGTATGCAGACAATAAGTACTTAATATTCTTTTTAAACAAACAAAATGGAAAGCATTAAAATAAGCCCCCAGACATAAAATGACAATACGTTAGCAAAATTATGCTCCTCAAAGCTCCCCTCCACCCACCCTACAAACACAGAGGAGCAAGCCAGCTTCCTTGCAAGCCCAAGGTCCTGAGTTCGATCCCCAGTACAAAAAAAAAAACAACAAGCAAAACACTTCTGACCTGCCCTGGCTTCCTCCAGCTTGTCTCTGTTGTTACAACTTGATGATACTGGCATGTCTATCAAGCAGCTGCAGCAGCCCAGGGACAGGAACTCTATCAGGAGGCAAGTACACATTCACCCAGCTCATCAACCACTATGGGCTTGTCAACGAACTACATCATCTAAACCAACCAATATTCCCCAAGAAACCTGGTGTTCCTTTAGAAATAAAAAGCATAAATACAAATAGCAGGAGCTACCACTTACTCAGACCCTATTAGTGCAAGGATGTTATAAAAGTTGTGTTATTTAGTTTTCACCACCCAAATCCCATTTTACTGACAGGGACACTGAGGCTCACAAGGGTTAAGTAATGGCCAGAGCCACAAAAACTACCAGCAGCACAGCCACTTTCACAGCAAAACTCTTTTTACTATATCCTTTTGCCCTGCTAAGATCCCTCAATAATTCAAACTAATTCTGTATCCTTTTCTCCTAGTATTCTTACATTAAAATGAAGGAAGTTATAATGAAATCCTCATGCTTGTAGATAAAGATGTAAATTACTGGGAAAGTTTCTTTCCCTGCAAGGATGGGACAGAAAAAAATCTAGATTTATAGTGTTTGTGTTGTTTCTTACCAAAACTCTGGAGAATAGCAGCATACTCGCTGCTGCTTACCAGAACACCAGGGCAATTGAGGAAACCACCATTCCTCTTCCCTTCAACCCAGACACATATTATTTTCATGACAGTGCTTCCACTTTAATGAATCCCAAATAATAAGCTGTGTCAGAACCACCTGTGGAGCTTGTTAAAAATGTCACCAGTGGTGCACAACTATAATCCCAGCTGCTCAGGAACCTGAGGCAGGAGGATCACAAGGTTGAGTCCAGGCTGGACAACTTAGTGCCTTAGCAAGAAGACCCAGCATCAAAATAAAAAATAAAAAGGGTTGGAGATGTACTGGGTTCAGTCCCCAGTACCACACATACACGGGTCACTTCCAGAGCTAGGGGGTGTAGCTCAGGGGTGCAGCGCTTATGTAGTGTGTGTGAGGCCCCGAATTCAATCCCCAGCACCATCAAAAAGCAAACAAGCAAACAGATGCCACTTCCAAGTCCACACATTGGACCTGAAACATTGATCTTTCCCCAAGAACAGATCAGAAACGAATTTTTCTGCCCCTTTCCCCCTTTCAAGATGCTCTGAATCCAATTAAGTTTGGGAGGCTTGTACTTCTCAGGCACATAAGCTCTCACACAACACATACACACCTGAAACTGTGAGAAACTGGAATTTTGTAAACTGATCACATTTTAAAAGCCAATCAACCTGCATTAGCCCCTTTAGTCAAATTATGACTTTGTCACATAATTTGTTACTTTTCAATAATTTAGATTTAAAATCAATAGTTTCAGTACCTTATATTTTATAATTGCTAGCTTGAATGACTGGTGATGAGTACATGGCTGTTTTAATTACATCTAAAATACTGTTATAAAGGTATAGTGACAAGGTGATTATGCTAAACAATACATCTAATTCAACAACATGACAAGAGAAAGCCTGTGAAAATGTCTGGCATACTATACATAAATGATTGGTGAATCTGAATTTATAAAATCCTCAGCTGAAAATGGGGGATAATCCTCAATGAGTTAAGAGTATTTAAGTGAGTTAATGTGAACCAATACGTATTAGTTGGCTGTAGTGGCCAACTACAGCCAAACAGTTTATGTTATCTAATTACAGAGAAGGAAAACATAGAAAGTGCATTACTGATATGCTACAAACATTCTTTCATATCCCTAAGAGCTAGGTTTCAGCATCTTTGTCCTAACCAAACATCGGAATGACATGCCTGGGGTTACACATCTTGTAATTCTAAGGCTGAGAAGCAAGCTGGATGTAGACTGCTCCTCCAAAGCATTCCACAGAATCTAAATGATAAAAACACTTAGATACTTGAGATACCACTGGTCCTTATAATTCCAATGAGTTACCAGCTTTGAATTTGATTAGTAACAAAAGGCAGAATTCTTCCCTAATTTATCTGCCCATTCATTCAGTCAGTCGTTTTACAAAGATACACTATGTGACATTGAGCACCTCTCCTGGGTGAGACCATGGTAAGCCCAAGGTCCAAATCTGACCATCTCTTGGGAGAGACAGACATAAAAAGCACACAATGGCCAGACAACATCAAAATGCAGTGACAGAGGCAGGCTCAGGATAGTGCCAAGCAGCAATCAGGGACACCAGTGCCCCTGTCCACTTCAGAGCTGTGCTTAGGGCTACACCTGCCTTTTTCTCCTCTTTGACCATATTTTGGATCACTGATGCTCCTTTAAAAGAATCTGTCACAAGCTTCAGAGTGTCTCCATAGTTCTAGAAGAATTCACCAGAATGCACATTCCAGACGAAGGTGTACAAATCACATGTAATTCACCACACATTTCAGTATAAGAATCTCTAATTTTTCATTATCCATGATTCTGAAGGGAAATTAGAAGGAAAAATGCTACAAAATAAATTTTTCTGAAGGCAGATCAACTACAGGCCTTGGGAAGGGGTAAATGGTAGTAAACAAACACTGTTGACAATTTTCTATGGAAAAGACCTTGTTCTCCTTTAGTAATCCACCCAACCCTCATAACAAGTCTAAGAGGATCATCCCCATTTCTCAGATTAGAAAACTAAGATATTAACAATAATAACGTGACCAAAATTACACAATTAGTAAGGGAGAAAAAATAATCTCGATTCATACCCAAGTAATGTGGGTCCAGAGTCTATGGATTCTACCAGAGTACTAAAAGCACTCAAATTTTAGTTTCAAAGTGCCTTTCCACTCTTAAAAAATTACTGAGGATCCGATAATCTTTTGTTTATATGGGCCAAATCTACCAATATTTATTTCTTTAGAAATTAAAAATGAAACATTATATATGTTAATTCATATAAATAATAAACCGTAACTATAAATTATGTAAAATATATTTGTGAATAACTCATTTCTGAAAAAAAGGCAATGTGAAAAGTGGTACTGCTTTATCATTTTGCAAATTTTTTTAATGTCTAGCTTAATAGAAGACAGTTGGATTCTTGTATCTGTTTCTGCTTGCAATCTGTTGCTGTATGATTTTTGATTAAAGTAGACAAAGAAGGGCCGCAGATTTAGCTCAGTGGTTCCGCCGCCTGCCTTGCAAGCGCAAGGACCCAAGTTGGATTCCCAGTACAAAAAAAAAAGTAGACAAAGAAAAGCTGGCCTCATACAAAATATGTAGTTGGTAGAAGGAGTATTTCAGTAGCCTTTGCAGATAACTGTTAGCATTCTTTGAAACTATACCAAAGTGGTGATATGGTTTGGAAGTGTCTCTATAAGGCTTATGTGTTAAGGGCTTGGTTGCTAGCCTCTGGCGCTACTGGGAAGTATTGGAACCTGCAGGAGGAAGTTGGGACTTGGGGGCATGTCCTTGGGAGGGCTATTGGGACTCCGACCCCTCTAGTTTTTCCTTTTGCTTCATGGCTGCCATGAGGTGAACAGCTGTGCTCTACCACTTGCTCCCACCATGATGTACTTGCCTTGCCACAGGCTCAAAGCAACAAGGCCAACTAACCATTGACTGAAACTATAAACCAAAATAAATCTTTTCTTAAATTAACTTATCTTGGGTATTTGTTACAATAACAGCAAACAGGCTAATATGAGTGAGAAGTAACTGCAATGTGAAATAGAAAACCCTATCAGTAGTCTTTTCCTGACCACCACTCTATATCCTATTACATTAAAATTGACTGGCCCATCTTTCACTTTGAAGGAAGCTTTTTTTCTTTATAAATGCAAGATTTTGTAGCATTACACACTGGTCATTTGGAAAATAGTGACTCACTAAGTAATGCAGATCATCCATACATTGAAACATTTCAAGTATATAATGAAATTACATTTGTTAATATACCGTGGATTTTGATAATCAGAAAAGTGTTTTAGACACTAAGAAGCATCAAGTTTACGGTAGCAAGTTTGAGTTTTCCAAAATTGCAAAATTCAACTTTTAATAGAAAGCTTGAGTTTTATCACTGGCAGCAAATAGTTGAAATGACAAGTCCCCTTTATCCATTCTTAATTAAACAGCTTCCAATACTAAACTTAGTCAGTTGTCCTCACAAGTAAATATGATTTTCCATGAAAAAAAGCATCTAGTTGATATCTATCCCTCACCTCCATCATACAAGTGCTTCTCAGTCTGCAGCAGAAGCACTTTACTTGTGTTTCTCATTTCATCACACAGGATATTAAAAGAGTACTCAAGTCTAAGATTTAACACAATCATTTATACTGCTTCAACTATAACAAACTTAAGGAATTTTTTTTTTTAGTTGTTGAATGTGTGGGGTACTTTTTGCAATCTGGTGCTACCATCTTGATTCATACTAAGGGACCAGCCCTGTTATCCATAATTACTTTTGCACCATCAGCCGCTAATGTCAACACAGTGAAAGTAGTGTGTGGATGTGTTAGAATTATTATGAAAGTAGTTTTCAGGTCGCAGACACTCTCTCCCAAGGTTCCACAGACTATTCTTTGAGAAACACTGTTCTACATTTCACAGCCTCTTTCATGGAGAAAGTCCAGAAGATATAAAATTTAAGGAGAACTTAAGGAGGAAAATGCTGAAAACCAAAGCTGAGGGTGGTGAGTCATCTCTCTGTCCTGGCAAAGGAAGATGCCTTGAGTTCCTGGAAATCAGTGAAACCTAAAGAAGAGAGAGGCCCTTTGATGTAAAGCACTGCTGAGTTCGCTTTGTAAAATGAATAGACCCCTGTTGATTAAAGAAAGTGCATCTGAAGACAGAAAGCTGCCCACCTAGAAAACACCTGCACATGAAGGCACCTTCTTGCCTGGAGGAATTTTTATTAAAGGGAGTACAAATCAACAATAAGCATTTCACTAGGGGGGAAAAAGTCTCCATGATATGACATTTAGGGTGGGGACAAAGAAAATGTAGTACCTTGTCAAGCAGGAAGCCTGGACAAATGGAAGTATATTAAAACATAATGACAGAAAAGGAAAGAAGGTGATGTCATCAAGCCAAAAGACCAATGAA